ATACAGTAGAGCGTCGTTTATCCGAATCAATTGGGGACTGGGGTTGTTCGGATAACTTATTTTTCGGATAACCAATTATGTACGAAAAATATATTAATTTATCCCGTGTTGAAATTTTTCTCCGTTGCGTGTCGCTTCGCGTTGAATTTTCGTCGATGTTAAGCCTAACGAAGACTATTCTATCATTAAAAATTATTTATTTTGTACAAACAAAATAAATATATTGAAAAATATAAGAACAATAAGAAATTATACTTCAGAAGTTAATTTAGTATCAAAAACGTAATATATTTGAGTAGCCGAAGACATAGCCAAAGATTACAGCACCACAGCACTGGCGAAAATTTAAATTTGTCGACTGGAATTCCTTCGGATAACCGACCTTCGGATAAACGACGCTCTACTGTATTTACCAAATCCCCCTTTTTTTAAACCGCTTTAGTATTTGGGTGTAAATTTGAACAACAAATTTTAAAATGAAATGAAAGATATTCTGAAATTTTTTTTATTTACAATGATTATGTCACTTCTACAGAAAGTAAAACAGTAGACCACCTTCACCCACTTTACAGTCCGGGGTGTAAGTTCTCCAGGCGTTGTAATTGTAAACATAATTGTTAGGTCATCTACAATTGTGGATGAAATTCGTTAACTGTTAATTACATTTTCATGAATTTGATTCGCAGGTTGAAAAAAGTCGTCATGAGTTAAATGTCTGAAACTTTAAAAAATTGTATAAAATTGAAAATAAATTTAAAACTTTTGAAAAAATCGTTATGGATAGAAAATCATAGAACAATTTAATATAAATTTGAAAAAAAATTTTAGGCAAAAATTATCGCGAAAAAAATTCACATAAAAATGAATTATGTGACAATAAAAAAGAATTTTTCTTTACTAGACGTAACTGTTTAAAAATTTTTTTCCGGAAAGAAAACGAGAAAAACACGTGGGAAAATTCTTAAAAAATTTAGCAAGCTTCTTCTCCACAACTAAGTGTTAGGCTGACTACTCCACTGCTGAAAGATTAAGTGACAAATGTTTTATTAAAACTAACATGGACTTACATGTTTCCACATTGCAAAACAAGAATTTTAATCAAACATTAACATTTTGTCACTGAAAATAATATTTTTGAAAATTTCGTACAAAAAAACTGTTACATATTTATCCGGACAGGCACTCATTTCATGACTTAAACAGAATATTGTTTAGTTACAAGCATTAAAATATGCAAATCAGCTTACATATCTAATTGTAACACAAATTCTTTATGTTGTTCAACATTCCAAAATGGGTAGAACAAAGAATTTATCTGATTATGAAAAAGAGCAGATTTATGCCTATAAATCACAAGGCAAGTCAATAAGATAAATTGCAGCATATATAAATCATCCAAAATAAACTTTTGGTAATTATTTATCAAAAAGACGTGGCTAGGATGTACCAAAATTTAAGACAGGTCCAAAACCCAAGCTTATACCTCGAGATTGAAGACAAATCATCAAGGTTTGCTTCACAAAACAAACATCAGTAAGAAAAATGAAACAAGAATTAGACTTATCTTGTAGCAGCACAACAGTGTGGAGAGTTTTAAGTAAATCTCAAACGTTAAAATTCAGAAAAAAAGCTATAATCCACCACTTTCATTAAAGCACAAAAGTGACAGACTTGATTGGGCACAAAAACACATGACATAGTCCAAAGAATGGATTGACGTTTTGTTCAGTGATGAAAAACAATTCATCTTAGATAGTCAAGACGGTTTAAAGCATTATTGGCACGATTTAAGAACCGAAAAACAATTTTCAAAACGCCAAATGGGTGGGGGATGAATAATAGTGTGGGGGGCGTTTGGATTCAATGGAACCACAGATTTAGCATTTATAACTCAAAAAATGAATTTAGAGAAGTATCAAGGCATGCTTGAAGATCATTTATTGGACGCTAAACCAAATATTTGGGGACCAAATTGGATCTTTTCAACAAGATAATGCCCCTGTGTATGCCTCTAAATCAACAAAAATGTGGTTTAAACGTAAAAATATTAATCTGATGACATGGCCTGCCAGAAGCCCGGACCTGAATCCGATGGAAAATCTTTGGGGGATGATGTTTCGTACAGTTTACGCCAATGGAAAGCAGTTTTCCCACAATTCATGATTCGAAGGCAGCAATTTCAGATACTTGGAATAAACTTAAGATTGAATTCCTTCAGAATCTAATTGAAACAATGCCTAATCGAGTATTTAATGTAATTAAGTTAAATGGTGGTTACATTGGCCATTAAATTGTAAGAAAACTTTGGAATTTGAAACCTGTCCGGATAAATATGTAACAGTTTTTTGTGCAAAATTTTCAAAAATATTCTTTTCAGTGACAAAATGTTAGTGTTTGATTAAAATTCTTATTTTGCAGTGTGGAACCATGCAAATCCATGTTATTTTTAATAAAACATTTATCACTTAATGCAGCAAATTTGGGTTTCACTTTGATTTTTTCTTGTCCGTATAAATTTGAAACATACCTTATTTCAATAAACTAAGTAATATGCAAATTTTACAGGGCAAATCACAAACACTATTGCTTTATTAAAGTTTTTATATTATATGACTTTTACGTCAAAGATATCTTTTATAATTTGGTAATAACAATGTTTTCTTTGCTATTATACTTATCTCTCGCGATTTTGTATAGCTCTTTGATCAGCGTTTGTTCTGTGTTGTTCACCAAATGATAAAAGGTGCCATTTACATTCTTCAGTAATGTATATGGCGTATCAAATTCTTTAAGTTTTCCTGACTCGAGAACCTGAAAAATTTGAAAACTTCAGTAAAAACACATACTTAATTTATATTATTAAACAGATAAAACTTACCAGTACTCTATCCGAATCGATAATAGTATGTAATCTGTGGGCTATTGTCAACACTGTACAATGTTTGAATTTTTCTCGAATTACTTTTTGTACGCAACAGTCGGTGCTGGAAATAAAGTCAATTAAATACATAAATGTATTATGCTAAATTAATGTAACACAAATAGCTGAATAGAACAGTTAAGAAATTAATATTTAAAACGTTAATTAGTGAGTGCACCTGTTAATTCTATTGTCAACCAATTAATTTATGCTTGTTTTACCATGTCAGAAGAAAGACAATGTTTTATCACACCTCACGTATGTCCTGGCACAAGCATAATGGGTGTCGATAGAAAATAAAGGGGGATTGAAATATACTGCATAATATACGAATCTTTATTTCGCATTACTTGCTAACAAGGCTATATCTATCATCCTGAAAATCCTCAACAGCGAGGTGCCTAGTCCAAAATCAGAAAACATTCTTCAATTGGAAGAAAAAGCGAATTTCAGTTTACACAGAGTAAAAAATAAAGCTGGAGAACACCTGAATAGTAGCATCCTCACCCAATAAAGTAAAATAATAACCTTATGTACTGTAAAGAAAATTTTGACTTCTTTTTAATTTATAAACGAAAACCAACTATAACTGAAATTAAAAATAAGTGACTGAAAAGTTATTAAATAATTTTACCTATTAAATAATTCTAATATATTTTGTTAAATTCGAGTAGTATTATTATCAAACTCACAAAATTATTCAAATTGTTAAAAACTATTTGAAGAAAAATCGTTTCGACATGAAACCATATAATATAAAAACGTTTCAATACAGATAGCACGATTTAAAAAATGTCAGACTAAAATCATTTAAATATATAATGTTTTCCTTTCCGAAAAATTTAATAGAAAAAATACAAAATCATTGCATTTACAATCCGTGTATTAAATCTAAAGAAGCAATTGATTATCGAAATGTAATACAAATAATAGCTAAATTGTAAAGTTAAATAAATTCAGAGAGTTGTTCTATTAGAGGCAGACAAATGAAAATGAGACAGATGGGGATAAAGTAAGTAAACTGTTTATTGTTTCGAAAGTAATTGCCATAACTGTTAATACATTTATCCTACTGTAAGACAAGACGATCAATGAGTTCATAGAAAAATGTTTGCGGTTGCTATGGAACCATGATTGTACCCAGGCGTGCCCTTTTCGTCCGAAGCAAATTGACGGCCACGAATGTCTTTCTTCGGGGCTCTAAAAGTATGGAAATCGCATGGGAGAAAATCGGGACTGTATGGAGGATGTGTATGGACTATGCTGCAGAAGTTTCCAACGAAACTTCTGCAGCGTAGTCAAAACAACCTTGGTAACATGTGGGTGGGCATTAGCCTGCACAGAATAATGCTGTCTGTCAACATTCCTGAGTGTTTGGATTTGATGAAACGCTTCAATTTTTGCAAAGTTTCTATGTACCGCTGTACATTCATTGTGGCTCCGTGTTCCAGAAAGTCAACAAGCAGCGGACCTCCATAGTGATATTGGATGCACACACGACTCGCCGACCTCACTTCGAGCACGTCTAACAGACAAATGGCACAGCGGTGATCGTTCAGGCTGTTCCTTCCTGATTCTCAATAGAGGGCATTTCTATATATATACCTCCCTGCATTACCAACTTCCGTGCCACACTTGTTATATAGTCTGTCACGTTTTCATTTGATTGCCCCTAATAGATTCGAACTAACTAAATATAAATATTACAAATATCCATATCAATTCACTAATGACAATCATACACAATATCATCCACTAAAGGTTGACTAGTTATGAGTTCAGTTCTGTACAACGAGTTGGATATAATGATTTATACAGGTTTATGTCATTTTTAACATATAAGAAAACCTGTTCTTATTGCTTACAAAGAAAAATTTGCCAAAATTACATACGTTATTATTTTTAAAAATCATCATGTTCCATGTGTTTTAATACTAGTAGAATATATTGAACTTAGGAATCTGTAAACACCCAATCAAAAGTATGTATTCTCTATAAAATTTTGATTCCTACTGCGAGCTATTAAATTTATTCATCGGTATGTTGATATAAATTGCAAAGTTTTAAAAATAGCGATTCTTTGCAACACACCAACTTAAATTTATCTCAAACAATAGTTTTATTTCAGCTTGCCACCAGAAAACTATACTTACTTTTTATAATAAATTTCGATAGAATATCGATAGAATTAGGAAGTCTGATATTCTAACATAAATATAAGAATTGGATGAAGAATACAAATTATAACATTAAATAAACTTACCGTACATAAAATTTAAATCTTTTATATATATTTCTCTAATACAATCTTACTCTTTATCCATGTTGGATGTTGCTTCGTCCATAACTAAGATTTTATTGTCACGAAGAATTGCTCTTGCTAAACATATTAACTGCCTTTGTCCAACGCTGAAATTTCGACCTCCTTCACTTACGTGCGTATCCAACCCTCCAGGTAACTTCCCAATATCGTCTTTTAACTGAACCTTTAATAATATACGTATTATATAGTATACAATTCATATTGGCCACTGATATCTGGCATCTATTAGTATATAATATTATTTAAGTATTTTTTTCACCTCTTCTATAACTTGCCATAGCATTTCTTCTGAATATTCATTAAAAGGATCAATGTTTTTTCGAAAAGGACCAGTAAATAACATTGGATCCTGAAAAAATGCATGAATTATTATAAGAAGTAAAAAAATTTTAATATAACAGCTTTTCGAAAACGCTAGCATTGTGTAAATTATTAAGAACAATAAAAAATATATGTTATTAATAATTTCACTTATTTACTTGAGGAATGATTGATAATTTACTACGTAGATCCCGAAGGCCTATAGACTTAACATCGACACCATCGATGATTATCGTTCCTGTTGGCTCTGTCATACAAAATAAAGCGGCAATTACTGAACTCTTTCCAGCTCCTGTTCGTCCAACAATTCCTATCTGCAATAAAATTGATAATAAAACGATATTTCTTAAAACAATTATTTGCAAATTTGTTTCTATTAATATTTTACACATAACATACTTTTTCTCCCGAATGAATACGAAATGTTAAGTTATTTAGAACAATGTTTTTATCTTTCGAGTATTGCAATGATACATTTTTAAATTCAATTTCCCCTTTACGTGGCCAATCTGCAGGAGGTTGTTTGTCAGTCGAATATTCGTATGCTGCTTCTAATTTCAAATTGCTGTAATTTAGTATACGAGCAACAGAATTCATCTGAAAAATCGAATGTGTATCAGATAATACGAAATACTTGGTGAATAAACAGGATGATAGGAAAAGACATACAAACATGACACAATAGTTACAACAGAAAACAAACTAAACACTCTATAAAGTAACAACAAATATTTCATTGTGTACAGTGTTTCTTGTTATTTGTATGTATCCTGATAAATTATAACATTGGTGCTATTTGTATAAAACAAAATCGTGGTTCTGGATAATTACATCCAATTTAAATCTGATCTGCCAAGTGTTTGTTTCGTTACTTGAAAATCCAGTTGAAAATCCTGTACAGAGTATATCCAATATTTCATTAAATACACGTTTAATAATAAATAAACTCGATTCTAGGTGGGTGTCACGAAAACACCCGGAGACTTCACATTGCAAGCCTTTTAGTAAGGAGCAATTCTGTAACCAATTATTAGTGAGAATTTGTTATAACCATTTCCTTATTGATGGCCCCTAGTTAATTGATAATAAATAATAATAATGAAATGAAATTACCTGATATTCTGTTTCAGAAGATTGTTTTATTATCCACTGAAAATGCATAGATATCATGAATCCGTAATTCATAACAAGACCTAGTTTGCTTCCTGCGTCATCTATAAATTGTATAAGTTAAAAATGTATTAAACTTTTTAATTTAAGGATGTTCAATATATTCACTTACCAGTATTCACGAAAACAATTACAACAATAACGGTAATAATTAGATATATGAAACCAATTATTTGACCGTATATGCAATTCCATCGATTTAATGACAGGTATATAAACCACGTTGCAGTATGCTTATCCTGGTATTCATTAAAAGTGGATATAAATTTGCTTTCAGCATTAAATGCTCTGATCGTTGTAATTCCATACAGGGATGCACTCAGATGAGAAAATACAGGACTTCTCGCTATAAAAATAAACGTTTTACATAATACACGACTCATTTTATAAATATTTACTAAATTCAATTTCCATGTTATGAAATAACATACAAAAACTTTGATTTATTAATACATACATTTTCCTTCTAAATATTTTATGCTTTTCAAAACGCTGTTATGAGTAGTCCACAAAACATAAAACGTGATTAAGAGAAAGATTGTTATTACTATGAGATAAGGAGAGATTATCGCTTCAATTACAATCATTCCGATAGAGAAGCCAGATGCCTGAAATTATAATATCTGTTATAAATTGCTAATGATGCTCTATATTTAAATAATTATTTTAATTTACATCTGAATTAAATTTATGTTCTTAAAAAATACTTAATGCATTTATTATGTAAACATAACAATAAATTTGCATTATCGATTTATATATTGTAATTTTATTTTCTACAGTATTCGATTAATTAAAAAGCAACGCAAAACTTGCACAGTGTGCCAAGTTTTGATGCCTCGTAACAGATTTTAAATTAAAAACTAGCCCAGTTTTAATGTTAAACCTAAATAAAGCTTGAAAATACACGTGTATACTAATATATATATTTACATACCTACATATAAATTTCCGAATGAAGACCTATATATTAATATCTTTATATAACTTTGTTAGTATATTTGTGTTATACTTACTCTTATGGCTTCATAGAAAACGAATGTTAACATATCATCCATGTTATTAACATCTTTTGAAAATCGATTTAGGATTTTTCCTGAAATATCACAAGTTTTATTATATTATTTATAACAAATAAAAGCAGGAAAAAATGTATTCGAACACCGTGATTAAACCTGATTAATTAATTAACCTGTCAGCACTTTTAGTATGCGTACTTCATTCCAAATTCATGTAGCATTAGTGTTGTCCAAAAGTGACATGTTTGACAATTAAAAAATCGTAAAACTGAGTCAATTGGTCATAATGTTACAGAGCATTTAGGGTTAAACTATCGTCAACGTTTAATATTATACTCACATCTACGTAGAGGTTTAGTTTAGCATTGGGTTATCTCTTGCTTCTTTTAAAACATTTAAGATTGTTTACTTATTGGATTAATTACATTTAAAATTGAAAATAAAATTCTTCCCATTTTTTTTTATTTTCTTACATCTCATGCCAACTACACCAATTGCAAATAAAGGATAAATATTTTATAAATAATGTGTGAAATGAAAATCTAATGTAAATAGAAAGTATGAACAATGCAGGTAGTTACTTAATTTAAACCTATTATCGACAATGTTTTTTTCTTACCAAAATTTGTTGAATTGTTACCTTAAAAACTAATAAATATATTTTTACACACCTACAGGATTGTTGTCCAGAAATGATATTGGCGTATGAATAATACAGCGAAGCATCTTATTATGAAGGTTAGTAGATGCAGACACGAATAATTCGTACAACAATGAAGCAGAAATTATTGTGCCGACAAATACAGCACAAACCAAGACAAAATAAATGTATATGTTAAGTTCCAGAATATGATAAGTAACTGATGCCGTGTTGTTAATTGTCTCCAATTCTGATGTAAAATTTTTGAATTGTAAATTTTCATTGTAGTTTTTGTTATCTTGCAACCTGAAAGATATTAATACAATAATTTCTTATGTAAAAAAAATATCTACTTTTCTCTTTGAAAAAGTAAATCAAAACAAACCATAAAAACAACATATAATAAATGACAACTTTTTATTAAGTGTATACATATTTGTAAATTTTAAATTCAAACTGTGCTATGACATGTGCCTTGAAAAAGTTATTTATTTAATATTCTCTATACTATTCTTTCAATAACATTTATTACAATCAAAATCTTATTGCTTTTTAGAGCAGAAAAGAAAAAGTAAATAATTATCATCTATTCTTCATGTAAATAATACATCAGTAATGTTTATAGTGATTTTTCTTGATTTGATGAATTTTGCTACATTACTCATTAATATTATTTATAGAATAATTCTTAGACTGTTGAAAATTTAATTCAAATACGAAAAAATCATACCATTTAATCAGCCAATAGTCGCTGAAACTAAGTAGTATCTGCGGTAAAATGAGCATAAAAAGTATAAGAATCTTGAAGGGTAAACTTGCACCGGCATTCATATATGCTTTGTAAACAGATAATCCCAGTATTCGATGTTGTTCTTCCTTGTCAGATGTTTTATTATATGTAGTTTTCTAGAAGAAGTAATAATTTGAATAATATAAATCAATTATTTATAACAATATGTGTTTATTTAAATTGCTAGCCAGAATGGCCGATTTAGTTAAGGTGTCAATCTAGCAATCTGGAGGTCCAACGAACAAATCGGTTTTCTTGGTTTCGTTCTCTGGTCCCATTGTAGGGTGAAACTAAACAGTGTGCTTTGTGAGGTGATCTGTCTGTCACACCATTCAGCTGCATATTTGTTAGCCTGGCTGTACTTAAAATTATATTAATTTTAAGTACAGCGACTAATATTTTTTTATTTTGTAATAACAAATAATTATTTCTACTTAAAATCGAATCCGATATAAAAAATTTGCCACAAAGTCAAAAATATATAAAATAGTTTAAAAGAAATGCTTTTAGTTAAAAAATATAGCTGCAGAAATTGTTTTTTAATTTGAAACAGTGTGCAACTTGTCACCTGCTGCTAGTGATTACAACCGGTTGACTTTGAAAACAGCTGTTGATAATACTCATCCAGTTGTTTACATGTATTACTCAGGGTAAGAGGAGATGTGTACTAATTCGTCACAGATACTGAATTATAACACAAAATTTTTCATTTTGTGTGTTATTATAATAAGGGGAACTAAAAAAAGGTATATGTAAAAAATTCTTTGAATAAAACGAAACTTGCTGATGTCTTAAACGAATTTTTATCAGAGTCAAATCCTTGCATCAAAAATTTAGAACGATTTGTTTATTTTAATTAAAATTATCACATTGTTTCTAATGGAGCAATTAATTAACAAAGTAATAAAACATTATAAAAAACTTTGCGTGGATATAAAATTATGAAATTTCTGAGGTCATAGAAAACGATCAATAGAAACTAAAATATGAAGAAAAGATAAAAAGTTTGGTTTAGTATACATTGAGAAAAAATTATTTTTCTGTTATTAATTGCTCTTTTTAACAAATTAAAAGCTTCTCTATGGAATCATGCATTGCATACATTTTGGCATAAATTACAATGATAAATATAAATAAAAATGCCTGTTATGGTAGCTGTTTATTCGTTCACACATATATATGTCTCTTTAATCTAAAAATTACAGTTCCTGACTTAAAGGCTGTAAAATACTCTACCGGAATTTTTGTAATTTTCCGGATTAATAAGATATACAGTCGACCCCCATATATCACGGTAGATACATTCCGCTTTTTATGAAATTCATCTTTTACGAGTCCTTAAATACATGTGCTAATCACAGCCGGGCAGGTATGCAGTTTACGGACTAGGGCTGTTTGAAAAATTTTCTTGCATAAAATTAATCGATTCGAGACTAATTTGACTCAACATTTCCAAAACACGTATAATTTTTTGGGAATAATCCATATAAACTATACTGTAAACAAAAAACTGGAAGATTACTTACCGAGTGTGCACCGTTCGACGACGCCATTAATTAAGTTGTTTTCGTCGTCAAGCGGCACATCGAACAGGGCGCGTGTTTCCTGATAAATTATTTTTCTGCGAAAAATTCGCTGAACTTTGGAGACACCATAATTTTTATGGCCGTTAAATAATTAATGGTTTTTAGGAGGTCCGCTGTTCGTTTAAACTTAACGGTTTGTGAAACATCCGCTATTGGTCTAGATTCGACCAATCCTGTCGCGACAAGAGTCAGCGATGACGTTTTACCGTATTTTACGAGTTTATTTTAGCGTTTTTTACGATTATGGTCGCAATTTTTTCGCCGCTATATACGAAAGGCATTATGTGAACCCGTTTTATAGGGGGTCTACTGTATATGTATGTTAAATAAAAATGATCACAACTTTGAGAAATTACTTATTATTAAAGTTGAATATAAAATTGTTTTATGTTATAGCATTAAGAATAAAGGGTAAATTAAAAAAGATTTATTATTTATGTACAGTTAATAAAAGAGTTATTAAAGAGTAAAATATATAAAAATAACAAAATACAAGTAAAATGGCAAGGCGATTTTTGGTGCAAGACTATCTCAAACACCGATTACTAAGCAGGTTCATTCTACACTCATGTTGAGTGTCATTCTCCTCTTCCAATCTTCTTTCGTATCGCTAGTTTTGAGCGCGATCGGCCATGGTCACGAGGTTTTCCACCACGCATTTTCGGTAAAATTAACCTATCGAATGTCTAAATTTCTCTTTATTGTGTGTCTCTTCACGATGAATTTTTGTCGATGCCTAACGAAAATTCCCGTTTTTGAAAAATAGTCATGGCTATTGTATTGTCAGAAATTATTTTTTTGTCTGGCACAAAGAAAATAATTTTTAAATTAATGTATAAACAAAAAAAAATTATATTTTGAATGTTAGTTTTAATAGTTTCAAAAATTTTTCGATGATAAATCGAAATATTTTTGATCAACTGGTCAAGGTCAACAGGTCGCAATCAGACATATAACGGGAATAACACCGAACAGGTGAATGGATTATTTCAACGATTCGTTTGTCAAAATTCTTCTATTTTACAACGTTTGCATTTCCAACTTCCCGACGAGCAACGAATGCGCAAATCTCGCACTAGAGCCTTTGTAGAGTGTCGCCATTTTGTATTTTATTTTCACTCTATTCTCAGTCCCCTGAGTACCTACGAGTCTGTCTTTTATATATGAATGATTTGTGCACCAAATACTCTGTGACAAATTGCAACTCCTGACATGTACTCTTTCATACCTCTAAAATGTCCAGCCGTTAACAGCAGCACGATTTTATAAAAAGATATAATGTTGTCAATAACTATGATATCAGTATGGAAACATGAAAAACTTTCAAATATCGAAAAAAATCATTACTTACTATTGATACATTTCACAATACATAACATTAATATATGCTATACCCTATATTAAATAGAACTAAATATAATTATGAATAAGTAAATATTTTATGCAAAGTTAAGGAAATTTTTGATTTACCACATTCATTTTTATAAACTATTTTAAGAAATAAACTACTATATATTATTATTTCAAAATCTATAAATCTTAAAGCATTCTAATTAAGTCACCATACAGTACAAAACAGATTTCGACATTTTTATTATAAAAAAAACTGAAAAAAACACTATAAATTTTTTAGTATAATGCGGTAAATTTATCACTTTTGAATTATTTTACTGCTATAGTAATTAATACACAAATTAGTTTTCTGCTAAAAATAACAACGACAATAACAAGAATATACTGTTGTGTTTTAATGTTTCAAACTGAATTGCAGGAAATCTGTTATAAACTTTCTATGAGAAGCTATCTTCTATTTACGTGTCACTTAGGTACAATTTAGAAAAATCCATATATACAGCTTATTGTTGAGGCATAAACCCATAACCAGTGAATCAAAGTCTCGCTGAATATTTTATATACTTAGCCAGACTTTGAAAAACAATAAGTAAATTAACAACAAAAACAAAGAAAAATGCATTTAAATATATTAACAGCAATTACTTACGACGTCATTATTAATGATATCGTAATTATCATAAAGCGTGCCGACTTGTTTATTATAAAAGGTTTCTTCTTCATTAATAGTGAAGTTTGCGTTTGGTAGTTCCATGTTTTGCTCTGAGGTATTTTTCTCTAATTTAATTCCCAAATATTCTCCTGAGTATTTTAATTCATTATAGTTACCGATAGCTTCACATCTTCCCTAAGAAAAAATCGTAAACAATTTTTATAATGTATATATATAATATATAGTACATACACTACATCTATACATAAATGTAAACTTTTTAAATGTGAAATCGCAACAATACGAAGAAATATGCGTAACCTAAAGGTAATTGCAGGACCGGAAATGGTGAAAAAGATATGCAAGTGATTAAATTTGCATACAGCTCAAGTTATGTGATACCCAGTTTATAGCTAAAAAGATCAGCAAAACCAGCTCAGGCTCTAAGTGCTATCAGCAATGCTATCAGTGGTTCGCGGCAGCCTAACATTTGAAAAAGCATAGAAAATTTCTTAGAGACATCAGAGAGTTTAATACAATCAGTTAATGGCTGGGGAGAAAAAAGGCCTTATCCTATAGCTGCATGACGATAATTTGTCGAGGTGAAGCGTTGCAATGCGTGATCTGCACGGCATGAGTACCATCCTAAGCCTTATAAGGACTCTTTCCCTGCCCGCCTATTGACACTACAGGATTAAAGAGATTATGCCTTGTTCATCGGCTTGGTCTGATACTTGACATGGTAGACAGGAACGACATAGCTGGGTCACATGGTGCATCTTTCGAGCTCCCATCCGCACCCAGGCCCAGTCTTCTCACCTGGCATAACTTTTGTACTGCACTATGGTCCACAAGTCTAAACCTTCAGTTCACTTTTCTCAACAATGATTCTATCAGACAGTGGGGACCCCTTCCCTACAAGAAGAGGGGGCCCAGCCTAGCGCATCAGCCAGGCTTATAGACCAAGAAGGTCTATGATATGTTCTATCAATTTTTAAGTTTCTTTAGGTTTCCTTTACTACCTGCAAGCGCTCGAAGTTCTTGTTCAGGCGGCCTGGACTAGATCAAAATGTTTCACAAGGCTTCAATACAAATGATTTTGTTTTAATTTTCATATAAATGGGTTGAAAGTTTATAATCTGTGTGTACGTTTCATTTTTCTCTCTATTTATAGTCTAATATTGACAAAGAGTCACTGGCCAATTAAACTGGAATAAAATTCCAAACTAGAAAGTACGTTTTCTTGAAGAATTTGATAACTTATCACCAAACGATAGCCTAAATACTCGTAGTATAACTTTGCTAATATAATATCTAATATTAAATATGTTGCTGCTAAAAGTGGATATTAGTTGCCGTATTTTAACTAAATTAATGGTTATAATTTTTAATAATTTATATAATTTAGAACTATCTGAAAGAAAAAAAATTAAGACGGAATTGCTATAAAATGTTCAGTCACACTAATTAATTGTTCTTTTATATACTCCTATTCGTAAATAAAACATGCACGAACAAGTAGCTTAACTTTCCCTGCAACATTTGTTAGTTCCACCTGTTATAATACATTATTTTTGAATTATTTTATATTTTTAGTTATTATAGAATAACAAGACGTTTAACTTTAAGAGTAGGAATGAGTTTTATTTTTAAAAAAGTTGTAAATACCAATAAGGAGTAAAAATCATTAAATCAGTCTCTACTGGAATACCATTATTACCTTTCAATCGAAGTAAAACTAGCAAGCTTTAATGTTATGAATCATCGTAATAGACAAACAGCTTTGCAAAATTTCTAACATTTTCGAAAAAAAGCACAGAAGTTATTAAGCTTCAAACAGGGCAAACAAAATCGTGCCCCCACATACACGCTAACAGCTATGCATACAAAAATGTTTGAATTTTTTCTCCATTTCTACACGTTTCAAGGTCCTATGCATCCAAACCTGTTAAAATCAGGGGAGGGGTTAATTTTTGACCGATTGCCATACTTTTCCTCTATTCTATATAAGATCAAGGAAGTAAAAAATATATTTATTTGCATTACTCACCTTGTTTAACACTAAAATCTTAGTTGCAAAATTTAAAAATTGTATTTGGTGTGTAACTAAAATGCAAATTTTGTCTTTCAAGTATTCTATTATACACCTGAAAAAATACAACTTTTAAAACTATAAACATTTATACAGGTTTAAAAATATAATTTGTGTACTCACTTTTCGAATATTTCTTTTGCTACTGGAACATCAACAGCACTCAGTGGATCATCAAGAAGGAAAATATCTGCATCTAGATATAATGCTCTGAAAAATGTAAAATATTCCATTCTGTACAAATAATGAATGAAAAGTGTCGGGAATAAAAATCGTCTAGCGCGCGGGTTTTCCCGCCTTTTCTTGAACGACCGTTATCGCCGTGGAAACGGCGATCAGAACATTTTGAAAACTCGACCGCTGATTGGTTACGAAACATCGGACGATCGGCGGACGTCTTATACAGCTGGTAGATGCTGATTGGTGGAGTTCAATGTAGCTTCAATCCTATAAAAGCAGTGAAGTTCTGGCGGGAAGTTTAGTTCGCTTTGGACTCGTAGAATGAACTCACGTTGACCTTAGTTGCCGGAGCTGTCTTAGAAGATCGTCTCATCTTGTTGTGTTGTTGTAGACTTTGAATTTGTGCGTCGCAAGGTGCTTTTCCGACGAACCTGTAGCAGTGGATGATTACTTTGAACTTTGTTAATATCTAATGTTTGTAATTCTTATATGTGAACTTTAATTGTAACTGTACATACGTTTTTGTTTTAATATATATACAAGTTTTAAATTCAACTGACTCTGAAGAAGTATTTTAATTTGACTGGCGCAGACTCGACAGGATTACACAGGATTACGACAGGATTACGTACTTCGAATTACCAAGGATCGGAAAGGCTGATCTGCGACGAAAGGAACCGAACAACACCGGCAATCATTGACCCAGGTAAAACTTTATTTTATTCGCTACCGCAGAGATGCCCAAACGCGTGAAAGCGCGAGGTTTAGAAACAGGGGAGTGGGAAAATGATGGGCCGATCAAGGGACGAAAGGCAGGAGGGCCGGGAGGTGAATCTCGGGAGGACATTGAAGCGCTTAGACTACGGGTTAAACTCGCGGAATCCGAGGAGAGGAAAATGGAAACAGAACGGCAAAAAGCAGAAATCGAATCTGAGGCCAAGGTGAGGGCAGCGGAATCCGACCGGCAGAAAACAGAAATCGAATCTAAGGCCAAGGCCAGGTTGGCAGAAATCAATGCGGAGCGAAAAAAACTACGGCTTGAACGCCCGGAAGCCGAGTTGAGGGAAGCGAAACGCCTATTAGAGCAAGATAGGCGGCTTTTTGAGGCGCAGAGCTCGGCGGGTCAGGTCGGTAAGAGGGAATTAGACGACTCAGGTTCCCAGGGATGGGGAAAGCCGGCGGAAGTAGCTAAGGTCACAGAGAAGTTTGGGGAGGTGTCAGGTAGTAGGTTGGCCGGTAACAGCGAGGAGGTTAGAGAGCGACGGGATTCTCAGAGTGGAATGACGAGGAGATCCATTCCCTCGACACAGAGTTCGGTCGAACGGACCCCCAAGGCTAGTTGTAGTGCCTGTGGCAGGGCTGGGCATTGGAGGAGAGCTTGTCCTAAGCGGAAGGCATCCAATGAGTCCAAACGGGCACGGGTAGTAACTACGAACAAGACATCCCAAAAAGACGAACTTCCGGTAGCGAGGGTAACGGCGTGTGACCGACCAAAGGTCAAGGAGGCGCCTAAAAGAATCAAGCCGGTAGGCGACAGGAAATGTCTTTCGGTTATAGTCGATTCTGGGGATGAGATTTCGGTCATAAGGGAATCATTGGTGGCGGAAACGAAGGAAGAAGTCCAACGAGCTGGACCCTTCGATCACCCGATTGGTGACGGAAACGAAGGGGGAAGTCCAATGGGTTGTATCCTTCGGTCACCGGATCGGTGGCGGAAACGAAGGGACAAGGCTAACGAGTTGGATCCTTCGGTCATCGGATTGGCGACGGAAACGGAGGGTGAAACCCAACAGGGCAGATCCTTCGGTCACCGGATTGATTCGGTAATGATCCCGGTAGGGCTGTGGGAGGAAGACCTCACAGTATCGTGTGAGCCGGCGATGGTGACTCGTGTCGTAACAGACAAGTTACACCAACCCACGGACGCTCTAGTATCAGAAGGGGATCACCGGATGTTATTAGACCGAAAAGGGAAACTCCAGGAGAAGGGAGAAAGACATATAAAGGGCTCAAAGGTAGATGGGAACGGAAACCATCGGGGAAAGGAACCGGAACCTCTCTCAGAGGCGGGGTGCAGTGAAAATAGTGACGAAAATGAGAAAGAAACGGAATTACGAGACGCTCAAGTCCGGGACGAGTCACTTTCTCGATTGTGGGAGGCCGCTAAGTGTAAGAAAGATGGGTTAACTGTAGAGAACAGAATACTATATCGGCTAGATAGTTGGTTCGGCAGGCCCATTAAGCAGATAGTTGTTCCCCAAGATCGGAGAGCGGAAGTGCTAGATTTAGTACACAAAGCTCCGTGCGGTGAACAGTTAGGCAGTCGGAAATCGGCAAGTCGCATGCGCGAGGGCTTCTATTGGCCGGGAATGGCGACCGATATCCGGAAGTACTGCCGGAATAGTCGTAGGTGCCAAGTAAGTGCGCCTGATTTAGTCCTAGATAGGACCCCAGCTACACCACTTGCTCGATCCTCAACCCCGTTTCAAGTGGTTACCATAGGCGTGGTTGTACCGATTGATCACTTGTCAGCTAACGGTCGTCGATACGCAGTTGGCATAATCAGTTTATGCAACCGCTTGTCAGAAGTAGAAGGGATGAGATCGCTGGTCACCTGTTCGGTATTTTTGCGATTCTTTACACAGACGGGTTTTCCCGAAATGATTTGTTACGATCAGGGGACTAATTTCACCGTAGGGTTGACGCGTGAAATGACCCGTATGTTAGAAGGGGAGAATGTAGAAGTAGATCGGATCAAATCGGCTCACGATATCGCAACTAAGCATACGGCCGTAAAGCGAGAAGAGTATGCAGTGCATCCCAACTTGGAAGCACGGAAAAGGGGATATAACAGCGGGGATACGGTTCTCGTGGAAAAATCTTCCCCGGATGACAAATTAGATGTCCGGTGGGAATGGCCGGATGTAGTAGAAAAGCGAAGTTTCGCTGTAAGAATAGTACTCGGTTTCGATGGGAGATTCGGGGAACTGGATCAAACTTCGTCCCCGCGTCAGCTGTACGATCGTGGACGAGGGGACGGGAGAGAAAGGGGAATTTTCCCGTTTTCCCCGACATCGGCACAGACCGAGCTGGATGACGTGCCGTTGGATTACAACTCGATGTTCGGTAGTAGACCGAAAAAGAAATACATCTGGACGCTTACTGGAGGGTGGATCCCGAAACGGTTTACCCCATACCGGATTGCGTTGGCTTTACGAAAGCGGTTAGTAGGCATAGGTAACAAAGGCATCTCTGCGCGTAGACGGGTAAAATCCCCGGATGTTCCGGATGTATGGGTCAGTTCGACATCGGACGATTTTTGTAAGATTGTTTGGTGTTGTGAAGGGAATCAAACAGGCTTAAGTAAGCTCAGTTTGATCCTCGGCCGTGGAGGTGTCGGGAATAAAAATCGTCTAGCGCGCGGTTTTTCCCGCCTTTTCTTGAACGACCGTTATCGCTGTGGAAACGGCGATCAGAACATTTTGAAAACTCGACCGCTGATTGGTTACGAAACATCGGACGATCGGCGGACGTCTTATACAGCTGGTAGATGCTGATTGGTGGAGTTCAATGTAGCTTCAATCCTATAAAAGCAGTGAAGTTCTGGCGGGAAGTTTAGTTCGCTTTGGACTCGTAGAATGAACTCACGTTGACCTTAGTTGCCGGAGCTGTCTTAGAAGATCGTCTCATCTTGTTGTGTTGTTGTAGACTTTGAATTTGTGCGTCGCAAGGTGCTTTTCCGACGAACCTGTAGCAGTGGATGATTACTTTGAACTTTGTTAATATCTAATGTTTGTAATTCTTATATGTGAACTTTAATTGTAACTGTACTGTACATACGTTTATTTTCAATATACTCAATGTTTTTAAATACAACTGACTCTGAAGAAGTATTTTAATTTGACTAAAAGTGTATGTCAAAGCATTTTTTATTAAATTATATGTAGTTAAACAAGATGTTTTACAAGTCTGTCTTACAGATTAAATTGACTACAGTAGTTTTTATTTTTTTTTCAGATAAAGCATCACACTAAGTAAGAAGTAACTAACTTTAACTTAGTTGAATTACACTGTCACATTATATTGTAGATTAACTTATATATATTTGCAGTAAAAGTTGCACACAATACACGATTAAACTTACCTTGCTAAATTAATTCTTGCTTTTTGCCCACCACTCATGATCACTCCTCTTTCTCCTACAAGTGTCAAATCTTTTTTAGGAAATAAACTTATATCCTGAAATAAGTTGAAATGGAAATAAAACAACAATATTAGTAATTTATAAAATTTTTCTTCTTACTTTTACAAAGATTAAATTAGTGTTCTAAACTATTAAGGAAAATTATTATTGTATCTATTTACATTTTTTTACTAAAAATAATCAGAAAATATAAATATAAAACTATGATTCTCTCCGTAATATTTCTTGTATTTTGTACTGATATTAATTTCTTAATTTCTAACCAGAAAGAAAGTTTTCATTTATTCAGTCATAAAACAATTAGCGCTTTTTTGGCATCAATACTAGGAGGTGTTAATGACACTCTCTGTCCACAAAAACTTCCTTGCCCTGACCTTCAAATTTTTCTCAAATTCAAACAGATATGATGACACTGAATAAAACTTCAGATAAGTTGCAAAATTATACAACTTGATATGTTTATTTTTGCTTTTATAATCGAGTTAAATGAAATTAAATATCAGAAATAAGAGTTCTTTTCAATCCACCTGTATTTTATATTATTAACAAGTAAACAAAACTAGAGAATTAAAGATGTTCTGTGAATAATTTTAAAATATTACTTTAAAAAACTGCCATCTGTGAGACGTCACACGAATAAATTCCTACGACAGGTTTATGCTTCTAATACAGCGTTAAGCGAATTTCGTGATTCAATTGTTAAGAATTGAACCTAACTAATTCTAGTAGATTTATTACAGTTTTTGTTTACCTTTTCAAGAGCCGTTATGTGTATGATATTTCTGTATTTCTCTTCTTGATATTCTTCTCCAAATAAGATATTTTCCTTTATAGTGCCATTAAAAATCCACGCTTCTTGTGAAGCATAAGCTATTTTTCCATTCACTGATATTTTTCCGGAAATAACAGGAATTTCGCCTAACAGTGACATTAGTAAAGATGTCTAACGAAAAAAAATAAATAATTAAAAATAATTTTTATAATATTTAACCTTCGTTACTGAGTTGGTAATGTAGCTATAAATTATAATTTCCGTTTAAAATTATGCTAATACAGTTGTTTTTCGATAGTCCGACGTTTTTTAATCCGACATGCTCAGTAGTCCGACGCACCTCCCGTGAAGGTACCCGTCCTCGTTACGTGTCTGCTTGCACAGAAGCATGTCGCGATGTGAATTTCCCCATCCAATTTTTACACGATGACACACATTTCGTGTGTTTTATGTGAGCAGTTCTGTTCGAACAGTTGAAGTAGAGAATATTGTAAGTTACTGCTAGCAAAACAATGCGAAATATGTAATTATTTTCGGTAATCCGGACACTTTTGGTAATCTGACACACCTTTGGTCCCATACCTGTC